TATCTTTATCAGTATCTTAGGATATCAATATCTTAGCTGGGATATAGGATATCATACAGTATCTTAGGATATCATGTATCTTAGGATATCAGTATCTTAGGATATCAGTATCTTAGGATATCAATATCTTAGGATATCAATATCTTAGGATATCAATATCTTAGGATATCAATATCTTAGGATATCATATCTTAAAATATCAGTATCTTAGGATATCAGTATCTTAGGATATCATACAGTATCTTAGGATATCATACAACATCTTAGGATATCATACAGTATCTTAGGATATCATACAGTATCTTAGGATATCATACAGTATATTAGGATATCAGTATCTTAGGATATCAATATCTTAGGATATCAATATCTTAGGATATCAATATCTTAGGATATCATACAGTATCTTAGGATATCAGTATCTTAGGATATCATTCGATATCTTAGGATATCAATATCTCAGGATATCAATGTCTCAGGATATCATACAGTATGTTAGGATATCAATATCTTAGGATATCAATATCTTAGGATATCAATATCTTAGGATATCAATATCTCAGGATATCATTATCTTAGGATATCAATATCTTAGGATATCAATATCTCAGGATATCAATATCTTAAGATATCAATATCTTAGGATATCAATATCTTAGGATATCAATATCTTAGGATATCAATATCTTAGGATATCAATATCTTAGGATATCAGTATCTTAGGATATCAATATCTTAGGATATCAGTATCTTAGGATATCAATATCTTAGGATATCAGTATCTTAGGATATCAGTATCTTAGGATATCATTCGATATCTTAGGCTATCCCCAGAAGATAAGCAAGAATCACCTAGACGTTACGCTCTTAAAAGTAGACCGTACTAAATTTTGTTAAAACATTTTGAAGAAATAATTGTAAAACTGAAATCTTGTGTAAATTTGTGCCTGCAAAGCCCGCTTTTCCATCCGCGCGACCCGCCCACCTGATTGGTGTACAATATTTTGTACATTAATATATGCATGCACCCAAGCGTCGCTAATGACTTAGCAACGCATAACAACGCAACATTTGCAAAGTTTAAAACATGTTTATTGATACAACTAACAGACGATAGTGTCAAACAATAGTGTCAAAAAACATTACAACTGTTGTAAAAGTTTTTTCTCCAAGAATCCTTGATAAGCTTTCTTATGATCTGATTCGGTCATCTTAGGTAGAAGATTTGCTAAATAACGCTGAACAACATGCAAATATTGGCCTATTGGTTAACAACGACGTTGACAACCCGGGATTAGCAACTGTTTAGTTCTGTTTAAAATATGTCTTGATTTTTGTGACGAATAGATTTCTCGCTATAATTTTGTAAACATACGAAAAATTCTTCAATATACTTGTGGAAATTTATCTCTTCCGAGCAAAGGTACGGCTATAACTCTGCTATATATTAATTTCGATAACAATTTTGCCATGTGAGAGACTCGAGCTATTCATAGTAGGCCAAGATTAATCCCTCTATTTCGTCATAACCTTGTAAAACTATCGTTTTCATTTTTCGCAGTCGCAGAGGCAGTACTGACTAAATACTATGCTTCGAACGGACCCGCTCCGAGCCAGGCTCCGAGCTAATTAGACTATATGCTTCGCTGTAAGCTTTCAAAGTGTCCGGTTATTTTAAATCTTGCGAGCTGGGCTTGAACCAACAACCTAAGGAACTACAGTCCTCCGCTCTACCAACTGAGCTATCGCAAGAGCATGTTTTAGTCATGCGAAAAAACAATCAAAATACATGCGTTTTAGTCGCGCTATCCCTAACATCTGACCCAGGCCTGTCCGCGCTAATTGGTTGCCTGTCCCATTTGGCCCAGACCTGCCCGCGTTAATTGGTCGCGCTACCCGTCACAGTTGGTCCAGGGTTAGGGTTAGGGCCAGCAAAGTTGCGTCACATATCTTGCATACTAATTACTTCCGACACCTAAGTTTGCATACTAATTACTTCCGCCGCCAGAGGGGGGGGCTTTACTACTTATGAAGATCAAGGATGGAACCGTCTTCATTAGATTGGGATGCATTGAGTAGGATGCGACGGTCAAATGAGGCATGGTGCATCATCACTCAGGGAACTACAGCTGTCTTTTGCAGAAACAACCTCTGCTAGTAGGGAATATTAGATTTTGAGCTTGTCAGAAATGCTTAATAAAAATGCCTAGAGTAGATGGTTGGAGGAACCTCTGCATCGATTATTGAATTGATACAACCTCTTCCCTCTTGAATTTGATAAGGCCTAACAAAAATGGAATTTGTGAAGGCCTAACAAAAATATCCTAGGGTTCCGTTTTCCCAACCGAGCCTCTCTACCGACCTAATGTCATGTTTGGATATTGCATGGTTGCGGTGGTTTGCTTATCTACCGACCCTACTTCTTCGTTGCTTGCTTTATACATAATACAACATGGCGTCCGTTGTCACAACTAATGCTTTTTGAAATGCTTATTTGATGTGGCATTGCTAACTGACCACATTTATGGCCATTGCTGGCCATTCCTGACCAATGTCGAGAAAAAAATCTTCCTAAAAAATGTTTATCCAACCTACATGTACCTACTCTTGTTTTTTGGGATACGAAACCGAAACCACGGGATTTTTTGTTAGGCCAAATGAAACTGGCACTTACCTGTTCCTTATCTTTCATATCCTTACTGGAGTCTTCGGCCTTTTTCTTTATTTTATTTAAATCTTCTTCTGCTTTCTTCAGTTCTCTCTCCCGATGTGTTTTAGCCTCCTAAATTTGTGATCAAATTACATTAGAAATCGGTCAGCGGCAGGGCATTTTTTAAGAATTCATCAGTGGGGGGGCCATCTACAAAAAGGGACCATACTATACCGAGTGTGGAGCAATGATAGATGGTTTGTTGGTAACAAAAAGTTTGGTGTGGTATCGCATTTAATAGTAGGGGGGGGGGGAGAGCAGGGCCGTAGGAAGTTCTTTTCGTTCGGGGGGCCTGAAAGCGAGGGCCGAAGGCCCGAGGAAATTTTTAAATTTAGAGTCTCTGAAATGCCATTTCCTGGACTTTGGAGAAGATTTGACAGATTTCTGATTGTCAGAAAACAGCGTTTTTAGTAGTGGAAATTTAGAATTCAGTAGTACTAAATGGGCGAAGGTGTATTTAATTAACGATATATTGGATAATATACCCTGGAGAGGGTCTGGGGTTTTCTCTCCCAGAAAATTTTTGTATTTTTCTACCCCTATGACTGCAATTCCCTGCATTCTCTGAAACAAATTTTTGGATATACAGCATTACAACATTATGCTGTAGATAGACTGAACCTTCAGTTAAGTACTTCATAGTATGTTTATGTAGATACCACAACTTGGCCGTTACTTAGGGAGCCAGCTTGATAAACTTAGAGTTCCCGACTCCCACGAAGCGCCACCATGGTTGGCACAGAGCAAAAAAAATTTGAAAATTTTGCGTCTCTAAATCGTCGGAAATGGCATTTTCAAAGTCTTGTATACGTCTGTTGTTAGGCCCTTTCATTAATTCGTTCATTATGATTTGCGAGTCTATGATATCTGCGAGTCATGATGGATTATTACGAGAAATGTTATCAAAATATCGATTACAGATATTTGATTATATGTATATATGATTTCAAATACTTCTAGTTTCGAAATCAAATTGTTTTTTTTTGGTGGGGGGCCAAAATTATCCCCCCCTTATAAAACACTTGGTTGAGGGCCTGTTGCCCCCTGCGGTCACTAACTTGTCCAACAACTCAAATCAATAGGGTCTGGGAAATGCAATCCACTGCCTGGGAAATGTTTTAAAATCTAAGGTATTTATTAAACATAAAAGACAGGACATAAGATTCACAAAGCAAATTTCAGTTACTAGAATATCAAACTTCCCTTCTAAATTCCATGTTTTGCTTATATTTTAGAGAAAAGGGACTTTGACTGGGGGGGCCAAAATGGTTGAGTGGGGGGGCCACCATGGGGGCTGGGGGGGCTTTGGCCCCCCCAGTTATATAGTTAAAAAATGCCCTGGAATTAATATGATAAACGCGAAATTGAGATTTGGTAATAGCTATTCTTGGTAATAGCTATTCTTAGTGCTTTCCCAACACTATCATGTATTCTGTTTATAAAGTTTAAACATAGTTGGAACACTCATCAAAGGTCATCAAACCTTTATTTTGATTTTTGTTCATCTGGAGCTTGAAATGTCCCCGTAAGGGGGGGGGGGGGTGAATAGGGGTGTACAAATCCGCCGATCTGGCCAAATTTGAAGCAAAACCCGCCGTCCGACAATGGTCTTGTCTAAATTTGGATCTGCTAAAAGCTCTACTAAATTGCAGGCAAAATCCACAATCCGAGCCAAAATGTTAGATAAATCTGCAAATCCGTGTAAAATATTCGCCAAATCTGAAATCCGAACAATTTTTTTCGGTGGAATCCGACGATCCGAAAACCTATTCAGTCCCCCCCCCTACACTGTTTGCCTCGATATCAAGCTATTTTCAGTGGCGCCGGCAGGATTTATTTTTGGGGGAGCAAATAATTCGAGTGCCAAAGGCACGAGCCTATTTTGAATTTTGGGTGTGGTGTCTAAAACCGCATTTCCTGCGTTTTGGAGGCACTTTAAGAGAAACATAAAGGTTTTAATAAATCACTTTTTTAGTAGATCGGAACATAATTGATTTCCATACAATATATGAATCAAATGTATTTTTAATAAAACCAAGAATGAAATGAAGAATTTAATGTTATAATACATATTTAGTACAAGTTCCATCTTCGGGGAGCTGCGTCGGTAAATCGTTCAACGAGTCCTTCGATGTCGAGGCCCCGACAAATGTCAGATTCCACGGACATGAGCATCAGCAATTCTAGTCGATCTTGCCTTATCGTCGACCTCAGGCGATTTTTTATTATTTTCAGCCTGGAAAATGATCTCTCAGCAGATGCTGATGTCAAAGGGAGAGTAAGAGCAATCTTAATAATTTTTGACAAATTGGGGAAGCATTCGGGTTCTTGAAGAAGTTCGCGGTATAAATCAACCAAAGACGGCTTTCGTTCTTTCGTTTCCTTGGCCATTACACGCAACCGTGCACTTGACAACCAAATATTCCCCCCCCCCCCCCCCCCCCCCTACGACATCGGATTTGGACAAATCCAAAAACCCACTCTGGAGAATATTGGGTGGGCGGCTGCCCCCCCTCGCCCCCCCTTGCCGGCGCCACTGGCTATTTTGTGTACACTCATGCAAATTTAGGAAGTTTCATTTGGACTATCATTATTCATGTCTTTAGAAATTGATTATTTTGATAGTTTATAAACATGGCAATATTTGCATAGCGAAACTGAATCGTTGGCCTGGCTATGCCACTGTCGACTGGCCCCAGGGGTGTAACTAGGGGATTTAGGTGTGTGGGGGCAGGCTTTCAGCCAGGGTGTCAACACTGATATCATTGTCCAAAAATAGCATGGGTATGACAGCCTGTTTTTGTTAACGTGAGAGAGATGTTTTTTCTGTTTCTGCATATCTGTTGCTAAACCCCCTTTTAAAATTAAAAGACAACATTAATGGTAAATTTATAAAGGTAATTTTTATTGTATACAAGTAAATATTCACACGTTATACATTAAACATTGATGAAAATCTTTCATGTACATTATATTGTGCAAAAGCCCAGAGTCTGGAGCTGTGCTAGAAATTGGTATATTTACCCCAAGTTCCTACTCTTATCAACCCCAACAATTTAAAGCATGGCTTAAATATTAATAAATATTGACAAGAGTTTGGCTCGCTTGACCACTTATTATGGATCTCACAATTGAACTGTGGCATATCGCATAAAAAATTCATATTGCTGTGACCACTGCAAATGTCTACAGCTACACCTACATATTTTTGCATATTTGCAATTCTAATTTTAAACAGCCAATCTGGTTCTTGGTATTAGTTACAGTAATACAGTACTACAAAAGTCCATTGCAGTGTCAGACACTAGGAGGGGCCAGGGCGACAATCACCCGCCCCCCCCCCCTCCTCCAATAATTTCAATTCCCCCCTCATTGGCTGTTTAAAATTAGAATTGTAAACAATCATGCAAAAATATGTAGGTGTAGATGCTTGTGGGAGTGAGACGACGTTTTGATGTGGGACCTCAGTTCAGTGAGATCCCTAATGTATGACAGTATGAGCCTTTGTCCACTGCCTTTGCCGAGCAATGCGGCCACGCCACAGAATAAAGACCGTACAGAAGGCCAACTTCTTGGTTTTGTCTATGACTTTGGTGTAACCGTTTGAATGCTTTTGCCATGTTCCTAGCCAGTCAAACGTCAGAAAGAAACCCACCCTAAATAATTGACAAGCTGTCATGTTGTCTTATAAACAATGCATTTTAGCTTTTAAACAGAATCGTTCCAATTTGAAATTTGTCCAACTATATAAATGGCTACAAGTTATCCTCTGTTGCTATGTGGTTTGCCAGACTTTTACTAGACTTAAATTAAGGACGAATTGAACGGTTGTTATTTATGTTTGGTACTTACGGATAATGTTGTAACGTATTTGTAGGCCTTGTGCTGTTTGTTGTTAATACTTTTTTCTTCATTCATATTTGAACGTCTTAAAGTGAGACTCGCCTTTTACCAGCTCTATAGCTACATAATATTTGTCCAGGCATAATATCATATGCATTTTTAAACTACATGCATTAAGTTTCTTTTAGTTTTACAATAACGTGTTAGGCCAACCATAGGCATAAGTAGTCTTTACATTCCATTATTGAAAATGGCAGCACGTATATTTATATCTCATATTTGGTGATGTTCTTTGCAAAGCGAATTTCTGTAAGAACGAGCTTCCTTTACAGCCAATCTCCGGTGTCAAGCTTTTCCATTTGGTCTCGTCAAACCACTGAGTAAAATGCACGATACATCGAAGGGACTCGATTTTCCCAGGGGTACCAGGCGGCCCTTTATCGCCTTTTGTACCTTTGGCGCCAGCCTTTCCATCGCTCCCTCGGTCACCCGGTGGTCCGGTTGGGCCTGTTGGACCAGTCTGTCCGGTTATGCCCGGTTCTCCCCTGGGTCCTGGGGCACCTGGTAGGCATGATGTTCTGATGATGTTTGATGGTGCCGTGGTTGTGCTTAGTTGGCTGCATGTCCCAGATGTTCCGGGTGGACCTGGCGGGCCCGGTTGGCCATCTCGTCCCTAGAAATAAAGATGTATTTTTAATGTTGTTTACATGCATGAGGCGTAGCTAGTTGCCCAGTTTTACTGCCAGCCTTCTAACGTTGTCTACAAGATTAACTGCATGTGCAGTTTGATCAGACTGGCAGAGCAATCAATACTGGGCGAAAGGAACACAGGAGAAATCTGTACTGAAAAGTGGTTCGAATATCGCTAACCACGCGCTTGGACAAACAACCGTAAAATGGATTTTAATAGCGGGAAAATAATTGTAAATTGACAAACGCAACTATTGGCACAGAAAAACACTTGAATCATGGAATACTGCATGCACAATTTCAACAACAGTTCAAGGCATTTACCGAACAATACCGCTTTTTACTTAGCAAGAAACTTTGAATATTATCTGCATGTAATTGGCGGAACTGTCCAGTACCATCCTAAGAGAATCTGCTTTAATTGACCATATTTTTTTATGCTAGTTTTCGAGTTACGATCGGCGGAACGTCTACTTAGCGCGTGTCGATTCCTTGAAACGATTTAATTGATTTGTGTAAATTTGAGCTCATGAGAAAATACTCAGAATGCTTTATAGTCAGTCAGTATCAGGTAAAATATGTAAACTGATGTCAAGTTGTTATATTAGTTATGACTTATGTTGTCATATTTTCAATTTATAGCCTATACCGTGCTCTAACAAGCAAATTTACTGTGCTGTGTTACAACAACTGCCCAGTCACGCATACATGATATTAAAAGCCCATATAAACTTTATAAATAAAATATAATTTACAACGTAACAGAACGGCAAACATGCAGATTCGGCCATCTCAAGTGGCGGTAATGTTAGGATAGTAGCGTTGCAGACTGCAAAGGAGAGTGGGCAGAAAGGCTCCCTCATGCACCACCCCATGGAAAACCTGCACCCCTCCTTGCAGATGAGGCTATAGCTCCGCCCCGGTATCTCGTGACTTCTAGGGAGAACAGGCTTAACAAAATTTATGATAGAGCTATTCCATGCATGTTAGTAAAGTGTAGTTTTATGTACTAAGTTATCAAGTGTAACGTATAGTTAAATCAACATGACTTACAGCAAGTCCAGCTGGTCCTGACGGACCTGTAGGTCCGGTACTGCCTTTTATTCCGGTTCTACCAATTGTACCAGTCTGTGAAGATATAAAAGATTAAAATAAATAGAATGAATTCGCAAGGAATATATTTTTTATGATACATTTTGTGAAATATTAAGAGATTTTTTTGTATTTTAACTATAGTATATATTCCACTTGCTTATGACTGCATTCAATTTTTTAAATTTCTTATGCATTTCTCAAGAGGCAAACAAACTTAGAATGCATGTTTAGTGCTTTATCTGTAAAACAATGCTAAAATGAAGAGATTTACGATGGTACGCCAAACTCAAAGAGAAAATGGTGTTTGAATTTCAGTGAGAGCATAATAATAATAATAAATAGGAAAAGTTTCCTGTGAAATAATGTGCAAAATCACCTATAATAACCATAAAGGGCTAATCTAGATAGGTGATTTGCTAAACAACAACGTCTATAAGTTAAGTACACGCATAATGAGTAAGGTAGAGGAAAAAATATTCTTAAAGTCGCCGTAAAATTATCATTTTAATATGAAGCAATCAAAAATAATTTAAGTCGCTTTTTGAACACATGTTTATCTAGCAATTTAGTTCCAATCTTAGGTAGAGCATACGATAATTCAGATGATAGCCTATAGTATTATAGTTATGAACATTCACCACTTCTTTGAAAAAATCAGAAAAAATAAGCGGAAGAGTACCATGATGGAATTGATACATAAATAAGACTGTCAAATAATGAACTATATCAGGGAATTTTAGTAAGTTTAATTCTTTAAAAAGAGAAGAAGAGTGAGTTCTAGGTGGTGAGAAAGTTATAATACGTATTGCCTTTTTTTGTAATAAAGTCAACGGTAAAATGAAGAGGTTATTTCGCTGGCCTCAGAGTGACAAAACGTAACAAAGCAACGGTTTTACTAACAGTATATAGCCCTATTCCAAACACCAACTCTAACCCTAACCTAACCATACTCCAAGTTTGTTTCTAAATCAATGTTCAAGAAAATTTTTTTGACGAAATGTCATTTTGAGGTCAGCGAAATAACTTTTTCCATGGTAAAACCACAGAATAGGAAGTTATACCAGAAGCGTAACTCTAGTCGTTTCCCTTATTGTTTGACGTCCACGAAAATTTTTAACTCGCTCACGTCAGGCCACGCCATCCTGGCTAGTACAGCCGGAAGTTTTTATCAGGATTTGGTAGGTACAAAGTGCCGGTTGTACTAGCCAGGATGGCGTGATTGATGACGTGTTGATGACGAATCGCTTGTAAAAACGCGGACAAATGTTTGCTCGAGTTACGCTTCTGGTATAACTTCCTATTCTGTGGTAAAACGTTATAGATTTGTAAGTATTACCCCATACAATTGCACCATATAATTATTAAGAATGGGTAAATTATAGAGTAATAAATCTGAATTACGAGTGAATGTGAAATCGTCAGAGGAAGAAGCTTTAATGGGTTAAAGTAGGGACGTCCCCTGGCAATCTTCCTATAGACCCATTGCACATGACGTCACAGAGCCGGTGATGATGCATCTGGAGGACAAATTAGCAATCTATGCATGATATAACTTTTGTAAACAATGCAAATTTTGTAAAAGTCTATAATAATTTTGTATTAAAATGGTTAATTTTTGCGCTGTATGTGGTTGTTGTGCCCGAACAGGTATTGAAAAGCCTGGTTCACATATGCTTGCGTTATGCCTGCGCTATCATTGTTTATAGCTGTTGATGCATACATTCTTTTGTGAATTATTTGGTTGAACTGCTAACGACAATAGCCCTCCGACATACCGCAGGTATATGTGAACCAGGCTTTAGGGAGCATCTGGAGGACACTCTACGGATTTGTGACGTCAGTGCAATGGGTCTATTTCGAATTTTTGAAAGTGATAAGTTAGACTTTCTTACCGTTCCTGGGAGTCCTCGAATTCCTGGCCGTCCATCGCGTCCATCTGTTCCCTAACGATTAATAATTGGCAAACATTAATACTAACTTTGTGGCTTAAATGTTAAGTGAACATTTACACACAGGACAAAATGCCATGTCCCAGTGGACAAGTGTTCATGTTCACCGTTATATGTTTGCTCCACCTCAGTGGCGTAATTTCTTTGGGCGCCGCCTGGCTCAAGCCAGGTGTCCAAATCAATTAGAGGGCCCCTGAACAGGGGAAAATGTATGTATTCCAGTTTATGGATTAGCTGCTAAGTGTATGTATAAAATTATATATTCCAGCAAATTTTGCATCTTCTTGACGTATTCTCCCCCCTTCCGTCGCCACATTAAGTGGGTAGGACAAGGGGTTTTATTTCAGTTAAAGTCGGAGAGGGGGAGGGGGCTTCACCACAAAGTTACGCCTCTGCTCCACATCCAATACTGCATTGTGGCAATCAATGAAATTTATATATCAAGGGGCTAAACGGATAGCTACGGCCTTAAAGGTATGTTGCATAGACACCAGTTCATGTTTCGAAATGTTACATGCCTTATGGCTCCATAACGCCACCAATTCCCCGCGTTTTTAAGTGGCGAACATGAATGAGTATCTATAACTATCAATCAGTCAAGTGTCATCCACATATACCTTCGCTGGGAGACTATATTTTTTCAACGGGAATTTATCGCTGCTTTACAACCACGTTTGCTGTTAACATTGCTCAGTGCTGGTTATTTTCTGGGGGATTTCCATGATGGATACCCCTTTGCCGGGGGGGGGGGTGAAATTTGCAGTATTCCGCTATCCACAAGCACTCCAGCCATAGACTCGCCCATGCCTAACGCACTTCAGCTTTTCTGTTCTCGCATTTCTCACACATTCTAATTAACACTCTGGGGCCGGTTGTTCAAAGGTTAAATCCTATAGGTTAAAATTTAACCTGCTGTTTTAATTAGTTTGTATATTTCTGCACGCCTGTTTATTTCAAAACTTCAGGGAAGTAAACTCTTATCGATCCAGACAAGATCTCTGAAGAAATATTTCCAAATTTATAGACAAGCTGTCAGGAAGTTTGCTTTGAATTTTAGGTTAACCTATTGTTAAGCTAACCCATGCAGCTTTGAACAAATGACCCCAGATCCAGAGTGTTTTTGGAGTGTACATCTTATCTAGTAAAGTATATATACGTACTGCCTGTCCAGGAGGTCCTGGTGGTCCAGCTGGACCATGTCTACCTCGTGCCCCTTTTTGACCTCGTCGTCCTCGAGAACATGGACACTGCCAGATGGAAGAAATACATATTATTCTACATTAATTGTAGTTGGTAAAAGCAATTTGATTGGCTAAGAGCTTACAGTCAAATCGTGCAATCACGCAACCTACAGAAAATGCATTTATCTGCTAGCAGATAACTGAGTTATCTGCAAATGAGCCTGCGATGATTAGCAAGCGGTATCTATTTAACACAAACAAATGTATAGTAAAACAATTATTGAATTCGGTTTTTGTGATATGCAAAATTATCAAGGTCTCGGTAACCGTTGCTTACCTCGACCGTGATAATTCCGAATATCACAAAAACCTCATCCAATCATTGTTAATTAGTTATTGGTCGTTATTGAATTTAAAATGTCGAACTCATTAAAAGTGGAGAACCTTTTGTATGTTACGTAACACGCGCTCAAAACTAATGACTATATATGACTGCATGACTATATTCAATTTTTTAAATTTTTGATATGTTTCTCAAGCGGCAAACGATAATTTCCATCTACAAGATCTTTCAATTATTATGAAAGTGATCTATTTCTCGTCATTGCTAATCCCATGCATAATTAATTCATCATTTCCCCTAGCTGATGCACAGCCCCAATGAGGCTCAATTCTCACGCGTGCGTAACAGGCTTAGCACGTTCACAGCTTTGCACCCACGGTGGTTTCTCTAGTTATTTCTAATAAGTAAATAGACCTTTTTATCTTTCGACACTTGTAATTCTGTCAATTATGCCGGTTGAATTTTGACGAAAATACAAATTCGCAAATTATGGCTAAACTCATTTTTTGACCCCTATATATACCGTGCCGCATTTTCAATAATCGTCTAGGGTGTCCCCAAAAAATGCAATAGCTATGTTCTATAGATTTGTACACAACTAATTATAAGTGGGCATCATATGTTCAATCTTAATTAATTTCACGAGAAAAAAAGAGTGGCAACCTTTTTTTGAAATCGCTCTACAGCTGTTGCATTTTTTCAGGACACCCTGTATAAAATGTCCGCGTCATTAATATGCAATCCCGTATTTTATGTGCATTAAACAAAGTTGTAGGATGTGGTTTAACTTGCATTTTTCGGCTATTCGTGCAGGTTTATTGTTTGTCCGACCCGAGTGAATTGTTGTCCGACCTAGAGGCTCGTATGTTAAATGGAAAATCAGAGTAATGTATAAAAACTGAACTGGAAATGTGCAATCAAGTTTTCACCGTTAATTAATTGGGTTCGGAAATTTATTGCCCAGATTCAAATGACTTTTCCAAAAGATATTAATTACTGATATTAATATCATAGTTGCCTCGAAATCCTTTGTCTCGCGAGGTACGATTAATCACTAATTTACCTCATTACCCATGCATACGCTTTGTCTTCTAAATTTACTCGGTAAATTTAGTTGAAAACAAAGGATTTCTTTGTCTTCTAATTTTCACCTGCATGCTTGATGAGGGAAATTTAGAAGACAAAAGCGTACCTCATTACCTCTGATTGGAGAGCTGTACCTCATCGAAAATCATCGGCACAACTATGGATAGTATCTGACGACACCGTCCCGTACACATTCGAACAATCACTTTCCGACCTAACTGTAACATTGTCCAACGTAAATGAAAATGTACCCTATAGTCGAGGACCAGAGGCTCGTATGTTAACTGGAGAATCAGAGTAATGTATGAAAAGTGAACTAGAAATGTGTAATCAAGTGCGGAGTTTTCACTGTCGGGTTCGGAAACCATTGCCAAGATTCAAAAGACTTCCAAATTGAGCTGATATTAATTTGTGTCTGCATTCATACGTATATTTCCAAGCCAAACTGAACTTCAAACTGAACATCACAATTTATTATATACACAAGGTCTGGATATGAGGTATTCTGCAATCTGATTGGTTCTCTACTAGCAGGATGTTAGCTCATATCCTGCTAGTAGTCTAGTAGAGAAAAACAAAATGGCGGCCAAACTGAATTTACGATGTTTTGCAAACCAGAAAACGGCAAGTTGTCGCTTTTTATAACCTTTACAGGATTAAAAACAAATTGTTTTCAGGTTAGCAAATAAATTTTTAAAACTTAAAATGGTTAAAAATATATATTTTTGAAAAAATAATTGGCCGAAAGAGCGAAGATAAAAACATAAACAAAAAAGAAAAGTATTGAAAATATCCGAAAAGCAAAGTCTGTGAATTCAGACCTTGTGTATATAATAAAACAGTTATTCGACTCACTCTCGTCGGCTATCAGCTCATATTCGACTCGAGTTCGTAGAATAACTGTTAAATACATATGCATGTCCGACCCAAACTCAAAATCATCGAACATTTTGCCAGACGTTCCTCTGACCGATGTTTTAAGGTCTGACGTCAACGGTTGTGCTTTTCTGGAACGTTTTTTTCAGTGCACGAGGACACCAATAGCACCAATAGACCGTTTGACGACTTTGCGCGCACGGTGGCATCTCTAGTTGTTTCTAATGCTATTCTACTGTTAAAATCGTCCGTGCATTGCCATACGGAACTGTATCTTATCTTTTGAGATATCAGCTAATTCAATCATCCAGCCTATTGAGATAAGGATCGCTGGTATTGAATGATTTTATCGTAATGTAACGGCGTGGGAATACAAAACTAAACCGTATGTCATCAGTACATCTATACGTACTACTCAATAGAACTGTCGGCGTGTTTAATAAGTCGTTTGCCACCCAAGTTACTCAAAGAGCTGCCCAAACTCAAACAGTTTACCCGTGAGTCTCCAGGTTCTGGGGACGAACATGCATTGAGTTCTCGCAGTTGGAATCGAACCATCAGGTCAACATGCATTACACTAAATGTTTCGACAGGCTTTGGTTTGCAGCCAGCGATTGAGGCAAGTTGCAAACGACCTATACTTTATTCTCAGATTTTGCGTTTGACAATTAACGTCGCGTTACTGATATTCAAACAGACCTAAATTTAGCAATCGCGCAACTTGCGCAAATATTCGCACTGCAAGATCGGGATGTTAAAACTATCATCAGATATTTAAGTGTGGCAAAAATACTCCACTTTTGTTTTCTCGTTAAACAGCATTCTACCTCGACTATTTTTGCGCACACGGGAATTTCGACCTACTTAGCATCACACGCCGCGGCACTCGGTGTTAAAATTGATGTTCAAATGCATGAATCGAGCTGGTAATTTTAATTTAATTGATTCTAGATTGAATGCAGTCGCATTGCGCAGCCATGCTGAGTTTGATGCGGACCAACGCGAATTGAAAGACTGCGATGAGGGTCTTTTGATAAATATGATGTAATTCGCGACACGCCTTACTCATTGAGAACCACCGCGCTCTATATAGCAAAATGCCAAATACAAATTAGCTAATTCACATAGTCTTATCAGCGTTTCGACGTTTTGTTGTTTACATCACGGGAAATGAAATGAAATAAATCACATGCTTGGCATTTTATACAAAGCTCCCGAAATGACGTCACAATGGCTTTGAGGCACAATTTTAGAAAAACAATATTAGGCTAACGATATAGGGTTGCTATTAGTATCAGGGTTAAAATTAGGGCAAGAACGAGTTTATAAGGCAGTAAGTGCCTTATACCAATGTAGATCATTTTTACCACTATAGTTGCCGGCTATGCCCAATAGGCTATGCTGTTTATTGCACATTTGCCCCAATGCCGAATGGCCTTTTACAGGGTTCGTATACATGTGAGGAAGAGTCAAATTCAAGGACATTCAAGGCCGTGTATCATACTAAATACTGAAGAAAAGGGGTTAGACATGATGAATTGTTCAAAACGCAACTTTAATGAGTTTCAAACATGCAGCTTTGTCAGATATGAACATGCAAAATCATTTCAACAAAATGATCGTTTTGATTGTCAAACTATTTCAGAATTAAATATCCAAAAACTAAAGCAAGAAAAATTTCAGAACTTTATATTAAGTACTTCTTAACAAATTCAAGGACATTCGAGGCCTTGAATTTTTGTTTTCAAATTCAAGATCATTCAAGGACTTTCAAGTTTTGTACAAACCCTTCTTTTATATATGCTGTAACAACAGGCGCACGTGAAGGTTTATATGTCCTCATGTACGAATATGTTTCTCCCTAGCTGATCTTGAACCCAATCACACATCTATCCTCAAACGTGCTGCGTACAAAACATGAGGAAATAACTACATGAAAACGAGGCCATTGGGTCAAAATTGCAAAATTCACCGCACCGATGTGGGCAACTAACATGCCTATTGTTACTTTTGCTCCAGTTTACAAAAGCGGCAAAAGTAGTTTTTCACACCATTTTCGGTCTATATAAAATATATTGTGAAACTCATTAATAATTCATGCTGAAAACACAAAAGAAATCATGAGCGTGAAGGAGTTTGTATATCTGATACAAAATCATGCTGATTTGCATAAACTTTAAGTTCAGTTTTCTTACCAAATATCATTAATTTATTTTAAATTGTTGAAGAATATACGAATGTTCTCATCAAGACAATTCACAAGCCATTCGCGAGGCTCGAGTTTGTATAATTGTATTTTCGGTACAACATTGTAAATAGTACATGTAATAAACTGCAATGATCTACATTGCATTCATGAATTGTCTCATTCTTAAAGTGCCTATGACACGAAATTTCACCCCAAATGTTTATGATTGCATTGTAAAGATAACTTAAAATAACTTAATAATTTCTTTTATAGAATTTTGATAACTTGCTTCCTTTTCAAGCTATTCAACTTTGTTTCATATGCAAATATCACCGGTGTGACATCACATCGCATAATGACATTTTGAAAACGCAATATTATACCTGGATAAAATATTTTTACAAACAAATACCGAGGGTTAATTACCAGTTATGAAATTAATACATATTCAAGGGCAATTTTGAAGTTTTTTAGATACGTATTCGTCAAGAAAACTATACTTTTCTGAAAACTCATTATGCGATGTGATGTCACACCGGTGATATTTGCATATGAAACAAAGTTGAATATCTTGAAAAGGGAGCAAGTTACCAAAATTTTATTAAAGAAAATATTAAGTCATTTTAAGTGATCTTTACAATGCAACCATAAACCTTTGGGGTGAAATTTCGTGTCATAGGCACTTTAAAAAGCTTGCTGTCAATAATGAAAATGCTGATTGGTTTCAACTATAGCCGCGTATAGCTTCCGTTTCATCCTTACTTGCAGCTGAAAGTGAAGCTGAATTACGAAGGACAACTCAACCTGATTGAGTCGAGGACTTTCTATAACGACGCCTCTATTTAGCCTCTAGCAGCAACCTTATGACTCATGTCTGATCACGGAACCACGGCTTGCGGTAGAGCGTTGACTGACTCGTTTCGGATAAGAGTCAAGAGTTCGCAGCGACAATCGAACTTTGCATGTATATGGTTTAATTTTGAAGGATCACCTGTATAAGTTAACGAGATTTAACTGCTAAGCATTTGATTAGACAATTATTACCATAAATTGAGCCCATAGTGAACACTCTTAAGATTAAGAACGACTCATTAACAGCGAACTGCTATCACGTCGAAGCGTTTAATGGATAATGAAAATTTAATGAGTGCCAGTTTTTTTTCCTGGCTTGATAAAGATTAGGAGAAGTTATTATCAAGTAAACTAACGTAGCCAGTTGTCGAGCTGTATAAGATATTCGGGCTTGCAGGTTCCATTCCTGCCAGAGGACCTATAGTGTTGCATTTTACGCAACCGTTACTGGTTAGGTCTTAAATTGTGTATACATATGCTCACTTAGTGGATTATGTGCCAAATTAACCAAGCATTCTAGTTCGACCATGTGAAGTGCAAAACAAATATTTCAATTGATCAAACGAGGATGCATGAGCGTTATCAATCTCGCGACCATGGTTAGCTGTTCACGATCTATCATGCATGTATTCTATTTATAAGTTAAAACATTGTTGGAACAAAATACAAAACAAGTGTAACTTCAAAGGTCGATAACATTTTTATATTTATCAATGTTTCGACTATATTTTATTCATCATCAGGATATTCTGATGATGACTGAAATATAGTCGGAACGTTGATAAATATAAAAATGTTATCGATCTTTGGAGTTACGTACACTTGTTTTGTATTTTGTTAAAATACGCAGTGGTTCTAAAAATTGTTGGAACACTCATCTATAACATTTATTTTATTACTATATAGACAGGGTTCGTAGTCTCCAAGACCAAAAAATTAAAGACTTTCACAGATTTTTCTGCCTATTTTCAAAGACCTTTGAGAGCAATCAGCTGTCGAAAAATTGCGAGTGTAAGCACCAATTTTATACCCATTAATTAGTCCCGTCAAATCACATCCTAAAATACGCCTTTTTTCAATATTTGCGAAAACCTTGCTCTTCAATCAATCTATTTTATCAGCTAGGAAATCGTATAATCAAACACTCACTAAATAATTTAAAGACTTTTTTAAATGACTTTCTTCGCTTTTTCGACCTGCATTCAAATTTAAAGACTTTCAAGGATTTCAAGGATTTCAAAGACCGCTACGTACGAACCCTGATAGAGCTTGAAATGTCCCCCGGCGTAACAATTTGTGAGTGCCATCATTTGATCGGAGCCAAAGGTGCAGAGAGCTGTTGTATATATCTGATACAATACGGATGCGAATGCTGTATGTATAGCTGGCGAAACGCAAGGATTTAAACAGTCGTGTTTTGAAACAATGTTTCCGAGAAAGTCGAGGGGAAAAATTATGCAAATTTGGAGAATTTTCTACATGCGATTGTAGGATAAAGCTCATTAACTCATGAACAAAGTTCAAGAGAAATTAAAGTTTAATGAAGTGTTCATTATTACCATTAGCAGGGCTTGGTTCTCGTGAAGGTTGATCCGTCTATGAGGCCGAGGTCACGTTTTTTCCTTATATGGCTATGCAAAATCCAGAATTTTGACTTGTTCGTCAGACCTAGAGGCCCGATAAGAGCTGGCACGGCCAGTTCAATATCTCATTAATTAAACACTGATTTCTTTTGTGAAGTTTCTTCATGAATTATTAATTTTACAATATACGTTATTTCCACAGACACGGCATTGTCGGCATGCCACGCAATAAGAAGTCAGGGCTAAAATATGCTCAGTAAGCCACATCGTTTCACAGTAGGAAGTTTATAGGTTTGAACAGCTCACAGGTGAGAATTGATTGCAAACGGTTGTAGCCATTATATAAAAACTACAATCAAACAAATAACTATTAAGTAAAAACCACAAAATGTCGTCCACAGATTTTTTGGCGCATTGCCGTAATATAAATATTTGATCAACTATTTGGGCGAAAAAATTATTAGGACACAATTAAGGATGTAACTTTCGCCACCTTAAAATTTGAAGTAATATAGGAAATAATTGAAAATGCTTTCGGAAATCAATGTAATGAACACGAGTTTGACTAATGGTCGCGGGTCGCGTGTCGCGGGTAAAAAGTCGCGTGTCGCGGGTAAAAAGTCGCGTGTCGCGAGTAAAAAGTCGCGTGTCGCGGGTAAAAAGTCGCGGGTCGCGGGTAAAAAGTCGCGGGTCGCGGGTAAAATGTCGCGGGTAAAAAGTCGCGGGTCGTAAAAAAGCTCTAAACCGTGTATTTTATTGAGTCGCGGGTTGAATAAAGTGTGTAAAAATCACATTAACATTTAGTTATTTAATGGTTTTTTATCAATAGTTGTTCGAAGATCTTATGGCTGCAATTGCGAGTTTCTAGATAAACTAGACAAGAACCATATGACATTATTGTAAAGCACGTTGATAGACGATAGTGCAAAAGGATCCTGTTACACATTCCTATGTTTATAGTCTTGATTTTAGTAATACATATTACAATCCAATTTCTTACCATATCAGGCGTAAAAATCCGCTATTTAGTGGCTCAGTGCGCGTTGTCGTCAAGCCTCTGCGCATCGATCAGTACTTTCCAGAAACAAGTGCTACAGAACAGCGACTTAAATATCCGGGTTGTTGGTGAATCATAATGTACTTTTATAATGTCCTAGCATGGATATATCTATTATTTGTGATACTATATGTTTCTTTTTAAATTAGGCCTAGTATAAAACTGATTGTAATAGTAGTGGTAAACTGAATTTATTTCTACCGAAGTCTTGTTTGTTTCTTTCAGAACATATTTTTTGATTAGAGGATTTTTGTCATGGTATAATTGTTGGTTTAACATATTGAAATTATTCTTCCAAGTTTTAGGCTTCTGGCACGTTTATATACAACCATTAAATCATGACAAAAGGCTCTTGGGCAATATTTCGTATTGAAGCAATCCTATATGGTTGTTTACTAAATGATAACGTGATTTTTACACACTTTATTCAACCCGCGACTCAATAAAATACACGGTTTGGAGCTTTTGCGACCCGCGACTTTTTACCCGCGACATTTTACCCGCGACCCGCGACATTCTACCCGCGACACGCGACTTTTTACCCGCGACACGCGACTTTTTACCCGCGACACGCGACATTCTACCCGCGACACGCGACTTTTTACCCGCGACACGCGACCCGCGACCATTAGTCAAACTCAATGAACACACCACAAACATGTCGATAGGCCAACAGGAAAAGTTGCATAATTTGCGCGCTTGACAGGCGGGAATATGCTGGCACGCACTAGAGCCGCGCGCTGCGTCAAAAACACCGCAGCACGACCTCTAGTCATGTTGAAAGACAAATAGTGAAAATGCGTTAATCAAATGAGTTCTAAATGATATCTACACCGCTTGCTTAGCTTTGATATCAGAGATAATATATCGTACTATATAGCAGGATATTGATTCTAACAGCAATTTTATTGCTAATTGCACAATTATACTCAAGCGTTTTAATTACGGTTTTTATTTAATAAAACCCGCTTGTTTGGGCTTCCCATGACAAAACACGAAAAATCAAGACAAACTCAAACTCAATACTAAGGTATGTTCTAAAAATATTTCGGCTGTTTTATAATATAAATGGAGTTTAGCAATCTTTTTAACTTACACAACTGCTACTTTTTTATATTTTTTTACGTTGCTTGAGCTTGAGGCAACGCTTTTGAATCCATAGTTTTCAATGATTATTTAGGAGATTTTATACAGTGTATCGACAACTAAATATTTTTTTGTTTCAAAAACATGAAAACACTTCGTTTATAGATTGAATAAAAACGAAACCCGACGAAGAATCAGAGCAGGCAAAAATGTTTTATGTACAGTTTAATAAACGAGTAGGAGTGTTTTATCACATATAAAACACGACGCGTAGCGGAGTGTTTTATATGTGATAAAACACGAACTACGAGTTTATTAAACAGCTTCAAAAACGTCTCAGTTAGATCACGGCATTGGCGAAATAATTTTCCAAAATAACTTTGTATTAGCTGTGAAAATACAAGTTGAAATTTGAAGCGTGTTTTATCACATATAAAGACACGCCACGCTTATGATTTCTCTTTGTGTTTTCCTCATGAATTATTAATGAGTTTTTGAAGAGTATATTAATATATTTACGCGAAACTACTTTGTTTTTACAAGGCTGCACAATTTTCACCGTTTTTGTCAGTAACTGCACATTTGCTTTGAGCCTTTAAAGAGCTTAATATTTCAAAATATATCCCCAAACTATACAAATTAGACAGAAGACAAAACGTTTTGACGACGAAAACTTATAGTTTTAGCTTTGTTTTATACTTTGTAGTTTGCACTCCTGCTCAAATTCAACATGGCGGATTTATAAGGGCATTTTTGTTTTCAATTTGGACACCGGTCACGTGACCAAGCACGCATTCTAGGTCTAATATTTTTATGGAAAAAACGCTAACAGAGTTTTATATATGGTTTTAAATGTTCTTTCAAACGAGAAAATAAAAAAAATATATTGCCATTTCCCTTCGAACCAAATAGGGTTATTTCTATAGGTTAACCAGGTAAATTTCAAAGTTTTTCTAAAGCACACTTATTTTGTTATATTTTTGATGTCTGAGTGCGTCTCACTGATCATTGATATGTCCACACCGGGCAAGCTGAAAAGTTTGCTTGACCGCAGGGCCGCAGAGAGGGGGAGGGGCTATAGGGGCAAATTGCCCCGGGCCCCGAGGTGCTGGGGGCCCCTGAAAAATTTTTGTTGGGCCCCAGTGTTTTTTGTGTGTTAAATATTTCAGCGCGAAGGACAAGATATCTGTTTTCTTCGGATAAGTACCAAAATTTGGCATGAAAAATGAGATAAAGTCCCTGGAAAGCAATTGCAACGTACTCGTCCGGAAAAATTTTTACCCCTAAAATGGTACACTGACCGAAATTTTTTTGGCGACGGGGGGGGGGTTGTCATCCTGAAAAAAATTTTTTCCGGAAAAAATTTTTAGATAGGGGGCCCCCCAAAAAAAATTGCCCCGGGCCCCCGCCAACCTCTCGGCGGCCCTGCTTGACCGCAGTTGGAATCGAACCTGCAACCGTCCATTGCTCTACCGACTATGCTACGAGGTCAAGTCGGTTCGAGTGGGTAACTGATCGAAGGAACACAGTCTATAGCTCCTTCGATATTAGTGTCAAGCAAACTTTTCAGCTTGCCCGGTGTGGCAAAAAAACCTCAAAAAAACAAATTAAAACTAAGAACGTACTTTCTTCTTGGGATGACATTCATATCCCCACTTCTGTGTCGTTTTGTCTTTTTTCAACTTACATTCCTAAAAACATATGACTTAGAGTTATACGCCAGTATTCTAAAAGCTCACTCACACTCAATCTGAGCTTCTCTTGAGTGTCAATGCTGTTTTTGAATAGCTGGAGTAGTCGGTTAGCACTATTTTCCATCCAGCAAACTGACCTGACGTCATTTTCGGAAGATGGAAGAGGTGTTAAATGGCTATGTAACTAACCCAGTTCCTACCCCTACTCTAACCCCAACCGCAACCCTAACTCTAACCTAAAGATTACAGAACACCTTTGAGTGTTAATTTGCCAAAAAAATTTTTATTGGTTTCAATGAAAGCATTAGACTAGTTCTACTATCTGACCAAGTTTGAACGAAAAATGTTGAAAACTCGCAGAGTTATTTAATAAAATACATTTCGTTGCAATAAGAAAAACATTGAAAATGTAATATTCAAATTCAGTTTTCTCCCGAAGAATTTTACGGTAATTACTGATTTTCAAACGAGTTGTGCTCCTGCGGGTTTTAACCAATTTCTCTCAAATTTTCACAGGACATAGCTAAATACGTCAGCTTCAAAATTGTGTTCGGCTTTTTTTTAATTTTGGATATTTTAAAAATAAAGAGCAATTCACTCAAACGATTCAGAAATATATTGCAGTCGTCAAAGAAATCGCCATATCAGCGGAATGACGAAATAAACAAAAGTTTCCGAACACAATTTTTTAGAACAACTATTTTACTGTATAAAAATGATATTTTCATAAATATAACTTAAAACCAGCAGGAGCACAACTCAAAAGCGTAACGGCACCGCGATTTAAGATTTTCCTGAATAATTCTTACATTATTTTATTGTTTGTTAATTTTACAATTTTACCATATTTTTCATGCACTGGAGAACATTTGGTGAAAATTTGATGACAATCGGACTGATATTGAGCGCGCAGTAGCGATTTTCCGCAAAACGCCGAAAAGGGTGTCCTGTAACCTTAACCGAATTAATAAAAAAATCTAAAAAGAAACGACTTTAGAAAATCGATAGGGCGGTTTGCTGGAGGGAATATAGTGCTAACCTGAGTTAGTCACATAGTAAGTAGCCGGCTCGCATAGTAAGATACGACACCAACCCTCCAGCTATTCAAAAACAGCAATGACACTCGAGAGAAGCTTAGATTGAACTTCCACTCATTAAGTGTGAGCTTTTAGAATACGGGCGATAGGGTTTGTTCCAAGCGGTTGTTTATGGAACAGGTATGGATTATGGATTATAACGGTCCGCAATAGGCTATTTGCCGAACAAAAACACCAAGTGGCCGATTATAATTTTATTCTGCATCGGGACATTTTGACCGATCAAATAAATTGAAAGTATAATATTCGATTAGTACTGTTTATGAAAAGCATAGAAGAAGAGAGAGAGAGTACGTACACAAAACATTTTCTTGGCTTCGCTGCGCCAAACAACAAAATCACGTTACAAGTTTATGGTAGTAGACCTTGTTAGTACCAGACGTGATGCCTGTCCACGGTGGGAATCGAACCTACGACCTTTGGAATGCTAGCCCAATGCTCTGCCTGCCAACTGAGCTACGCGGTTAGGTCGGTTCGAGTATGTGATATTTCGGAACAGAATCTAGTTCCTTCGATATCAATGTAATCTAATAATCATGATTTTTTCTGTGTTGGTGTAATGTTGCATATGCCGGCAACTGAGAAAAATCATGATTATTAGATTACATTGATATCGAAGGAACTAGATTCTGTTCCGAAATATCACATACTCGAACCGACCTGACCGCGTAGCTCAGTTGGCAGAGCATTGGGCTAGTATTCCAAAGGTCGTAGGTTCGATTCCCACCGTGGTCAGGTATATTTTTCAAGCTTGCCCGGTGTGGATATACACTCAGAGTAACATCACAAGCATCATATTCACCTGAGTACATTATACCAACACAGAAAAAATCATGTATGTGTCTTGTCCTATAGACAATAACGCGCCGAAAATTCAGAAAAGCCAAACATTTATTTCACCAATGCAGGCAATGCTAATATTTTACTTTTCAACCTAATGTTATGTCATTCTGTTTGACATGATAGTGAGCTTAGGGGCGGACCATTAGAAAAGTGATTGGGGAGCAAAAATAAAAATCGAGCAGGGGAAACAGAAAGAAAAAAATTCATGCACCAAAAAAGTTTGAAAAAAAATTCGTGCAGAGACTTTTCAATAGGGAAAATTATAAGTTGAAATAAAAACAAATTCGAGCAAGGGATTATATTTAAAAAATTATCGACACAAGCAAAAAATTTTGAAAAAATATTCGTTCAAATTGAAAAAGTCCCCCCCTCCCCATCACTTTTCTAATGGTCCGTCCCTTAATTAAACAAGTGACGTTTTTGTCAACAGGGACGCCACCCGTAAAAGTGTTTAACCATAATTTTGGTGGCATTTGGCATCTTGGTGCTCGCGTGTAACGAAGCAAAAAAACCCCGTTAAAAATCTTACGTTTTGTCACATGCATGTGTTAATGAAGATTACATGCACAAATTGGCACAAACACAATTTTTAATGCAGTTCCCCCTCGGCAATCTGATGTGAAGCTTGCGGATGTTTCCTGTCGACGGATCATATGCTATAGTTGTCTGACTCTCATTTTAGTTCTCGGAAAAAATGTTTTTGAATCCTGCTAAATTTGGTCATTTTTCGCGGTTGATTATAGTCGTTGATTTTTTGGTAACGTGAAATATCGGATTCGCAGCAGGATTTCAGGAAGACGAATACAAGTTTCGAATTCCGGGAAATTTTTGTCATGCTTGTTTAGAAGTACATGTATAATTGCATGACTGGAAAGTAGTCATTGGCGTGGCGACCAGAAAACCATAGAAAATTTGTTGCATGCATGTATACACAAGTATAGTCACGTACAATTTCTAAATAAACGTAAAACTTGTCATATGAAAACGTTCTCGTTTGTAACTATATAGGTTTAACTATTAAACACACAAAAATCTGATCTTGTAGCAAGTCTGCCAACAAGCCGTCATGCAACAAACTGTATTTGCACTGCTTGTCAGCAAGTATGGAACAACTTGTTAACAGTTGTATAACAACCTTGTTGATGTTATCAGATTTGTTGCAAGCCGGTTGTTCCAACAAGTCCGATACAGTCATGATATAACAATATTGCTATAACCTTGTGTCGTCAACCTTGTAACATTCTTAATTGTTATGTTATAACTGTATTGTATAGAACAACCTTGTAACACGTCTGATAATGCCATCAAGCTTGTCATACAAATTTTTAACAGCTTGTTCCGAACTTGTTACAACAACTGGGAACAAGCAGTGCGAACACAACTTGTCGACAGCTTTCATTTGAACAGATTTTTAACAACCTTTTTGCGTTTCGGAAACTTGGTAAATTTGAGAATGAAAATAAGAGCACCTTCATAACTTGACATAATTTGAAGTGGTATATGGAACGATATCGTGTTTTTTGAGTATTGGTAACTCTTTTGAATAAAGTTTGTTTTTTTGCTTGAAAAGCTGTATCAAAAAGCTTCGACGAATGACTTTCGCCCGATGTTTTAATTGTATTTTTTAGTTGGTTGAATCACGCACAATTTACAGCTTTCTAGTGTTATTGTCACTAAGACAGTTTCGAGCTTATAAATTTGGATTATCTTTTTAATGATAAGGCATGCAGTTTCGCTATAAATAACGCTACGTTGGTGATAAGTTTGTTTTATAAATTATTACGAAGCATTCCAACCAATTAAACACTGAACAAACAGTTTGATATGTAAAGAACACGTGAAACATAAACAAAAAACAAGCAAAATGGACAAACGAATTCCGGGTGGCGTTTTCTACATCAGACAGCTCACAGCAATTTATAGTTCAATTCAATCATTTCAATGAGGCGGGCCTATAATATATACAACGTCAGTAAAAAAATTGTGGTCAATGCCAATGGTCTCTACCGGATTAAACATTTGAATGCTTAATTCTCTTTATGATTTTGAGTTTGTTGAGTGAACTGTTTGTTTTTGTGCGGACTGTCCGGAAATTTAAAATGTTTACACAAAACGAAAATGATGAAACGGTAGGGCGTCCATGGCGATGATTTGTATAGTCCTGTATGCCGACATGACCCTCAGACGTGACATGAAAAAATGAATTGTAAGTTAGATATATTTTTGTGTGCGTCGCTTTTTGGTGTGAGGCCGAGATATTTACGTAATGATGTACTGTAGCATATCTATACTACGTTCACACGATGTCAGAGCGCTTTGAAAACGCCATCGCGTACACATTACGTCAGAGTAAATTGTTTGAAAACGTAACTTTTGCCGTAACAATTTGAGCACGGGTTTCTAAACGCCGTTACTTTTTTGAACCGCTTGCAAACCAAGCATCTCAGCTCTCAAAACAGTAAATTCGAATGCTTTTCGTTTAAATTTCTTTAAAATCTGTAAAATAATGCTAAAATGAAGAGATTTTAGATGGTACGCCAAAGAGAAAATGATGTCTGAAGTTCAGTAAGTTTTGCTTATATGCATGGCTGTATAAATATTATCATGATAACTATATTTAAATTGACAATATTGAACTATTATTTTGTGTTTCTCGACGGCCAGATACATTTCAAAAGGTTGCTAACTCTGTAAACTACAAAATAAAACCGGCTAAACCAAAGTGATTTTAAGAGGAACGCCAAAAAGATTTTAGGTTTTGAACACTTCATTGCAAATGCGCTACATTGAAAAATTGGCCTCTTAATTATAAGGCATATAACTATAACCTATCGGCAAAAACCCCAAAATAAACTATTTTGCAAGAGCATGCTATCGCCAAATCTTAGATTAAATATACTTTTACTTAATATAGCTAACACGCCGAAATTATTTTTGAAGGTTTGTAGGTAGGAAATAAACGCCTAATAAATCTGTTCCTATTCTCAAACGATTATGTTTTATAGAGATAAACATATATAGAGTCTCGGAGGTGACCCTTCTGCTCAGGCCAGACAAATTTCGTTGAGGAAATTAGACGGGAATTATGCTAATGACTTACGCAAACTTGGACTTTCATTAGTATCAAATTTATTATAACCCGTCTACAAACTGTGATTTAATTAACAACGTTGATCCTTTTAACAAAACTAGCATAAAATGATGAATAGATACATGTATATATTGGAAACGTTAGCGAGACCTGTTTTGCTTTCAACTCTAATTGAGTGGTACAATAAAATGGGCTTGCGTTTTAAAACCAAGTTTTAATTAAACAGTAAAATATCAGTCAAGATGGTGGTTTTTCCTTACAATTTTGGGGAGAAATACTTCTTTAATTTCAAACCTGTAGACATTTCTTTATTCATTCATACATGCTCACAAGTTTGCAAACGTACAACTTGTACAATAATTTATTTGTATACTGAGGACTTAATTCGGCAATGCACTCAATTTCCGCTACTGTCGCCTTCTCCCTCGGGCTTTGTAGCTCTCTAAACTGATGTCGGTTTCAATAGCCGAGGAAATTGGCACAAAATTGGTTCAGTAAACAGGAGATTGCCAATTTTTACCAATTGTGTTGACAAACTAATGTCAAACTCAAAAATTTGTTTGATTGAAACTAAAGCGGTTGAACTCAATGGATATGTACAGTATATATTCAGTTATAAAAATCATGATAGCACTTTTCATGCCATATGAGTGTAAATCTATAAATCGCGCACACTGTAATTTAAGACAAACTCACAGACTGTAATGTAATACTTATAGAATTATTTCCTCTATTAGTTTGTAGATTATACGTGCCATCCGAAGACCTTTGTTTAGCGACGAACTGCATATTCTAAATTGGCACATACTCTGATATTTTATCACTCTATCCAGGCTGACCGTTTTAGTAATTTTATACGTATGTATATATAGGAAACCATAATTATAGCAGCCGCCCAACGGGCAAAATGACGTTTATCCAACGTTGAATCAACGTTGGAAATGACCTTCCAGACGTTGCATAGACGTTGAAAAAGGGTTGACTATGCAAATTGGATCGACGTTACTGTTTCGACGTTGAAACAACGTCGAAATTAGGTTGCCAATCTCGTCAACCATAATTCAACGTTGAATCCACGTTAAAACAACGTTGAGATTGGTTCACAAATCGACGTCGTACATTTAACCATGAATTCAACGTCTGTTGGCAGCTGTTGAACCAATGTTTGTAAAACAACGTCAGAGCAACGTAGATATTAGGTTGTCGACGTCGCAACCTTTTTTCTACCAAATTTCAACGTTGAAACAACGTCGTGTGCCCGGTGGGCGCTATAGCTCGCCATGCTTGTGATCAACAGTGATTGAGATTGATTTCAATTTGATTACCGTATCTTCGCTATTAACTTGAATTTTCGATCTCCGTTTAATGCATGTGGAATAATATTCTTTACAGACGCGTGATAATTTTTTCAATTTGCGCACAGTACACCAAGTTATTAAGCGTCTATAAGAATCCATACTACTGACAGCAAGTTTTGGTGGCATATCAGTATTCACGTCTATATGTATCTAATGAGAAAGGCCGAACTGTTTATTTGTTTTGTCTTGTTTTGACATGAATTTTCAGTTTATAAGCTGTTATTCTTCGGTGTAAATGTTTTATTTTGTAAAGCCACATGTTGGCGTGTCTAACATTATGTTGTATAATTTGGCAAGACCCATTTCCGATATAGATTGATCATTGATGTATTACTTTGATAGTCAGGAGTTTCCCTAATCTATAAAATACTTTCATAACAATTACAGATTTTAACCATCTTTTATGCATTTCGTGCGTCTCAGACGTCTTGGCCTCGTAGTCATTGTTTCTATGACTATAGAATTGAATAGAATCTTAAATTTCAGCACAACGGCTTCGATATACTCAGTCCATGTCACTATACTTAGGCAAGTCGTCTCATTGATTTAATCTTATCTTAGTCATGAATTGACTTGAATTTATATTAAAGATGAGTGTTACTGTTATGAGCTATTGAAATTTAGTCTAAGATAGCAAGATATTACATGTATTATGATGTGTATATAAGATATGGCGAGACAACTGCGTTCTCTGATTTTGTGAATTACTCACAATGTGAATGTACAACAATTTTCATAATGTAAGACGAAAAAGAAGTCTATATGTTGTAACTGTGGTACATTGTGCGGCAGTATATTTTAAGATAGTATAAGGCATTACCAATTCGAAAATTTAACTATAGGAGCCGGGGCAAAGTGAAGAAGACTGATAAGCATTAATACTCGACGCATCAATTAAAATGTAGTGTTTACAAGTGAGTCAGATCTTGCGATGTATTTTCACAAAGAAAGTTAGTATATCAATTCAACAGAACTGTATATATCGCTGGCTTTTCACTGACATGACGTTGCATTATGAATTTTCCGCGATTTGTAAGGTACTCCTACTCAAGTCATCAATTAACTTTGTGTTTATATTGAGCATAAGTGTTCCTGTTATAAATTGTTCGGTGTACTTTCAATTTACTTAGCAACGTATTACATGTACGACACACATACTTGTCTTACATGCGGTTTTGCGAGACCTTAATTCAGCATGAATTTTTTCCGTTTCATCGATTACTCTTTGCCAAAAGTTATCAATTAAATTAGTCTATATAGCGTTACTAATATAAAGTTACCAGTGCACTTCAACCGAGTAAATTTCCTCCCATTTCAACAAAACTATAGAAGACTGACCTCATTACTTTTGCTTTTTTTAGCTGTCTTCTTCGACTTCGACGACGCACTTGACGCGAGATCAGGAACTAACACCAAAAGGACTTCAATCAACGCTACTAAAACCATCGCACGATGACACGCTCGCGAAAGATTCATGATGGTAGGTTTGCGCACTCTCTCACGCTTTTCACTTTCTGCGCGCACTATATTCTAAATAGCAAGGACCGCGCGCCCGTTCTTATTAAAGCCCGTGCGCCACCGTATGCTATATTTACACTGTTTTCCTCTGTTTGATGCGCGCAATTCATGCTCCATACCGTTCAAATAACCTAATTATCACCCCTGAAGTGAGATAATAAAACACACTTGACTACCTTATCGGATTACATTGGAATCGGACGGCCTTGGCACAGAAGAATTTAACCAGAAGCTCCACTCTCCAAATTACACTTGTTTAGCTATCTGAAACGAGCGCGGCCAAGCCATACAAATTTATACAACGCACTTGTTTCCAGATCGCTAAACAAGTCTAATCAGCTTTTTGATATGTCGAGGGTGGGATTTCTGGTTAAATTGTTATTCTGTGGCCTTGGCAAGGTTGACGGCGCAGGTGAGAGCAAGCGCCTTCCACCTCTGAGATCGTGCACGTGGGCTCGATTCTCGCTGCGGACTTTTGACACTTATGTGAAGAGAGTCAGTCAATGCTCCACCGAAATTTGTGGGTTTTCTCCGGTTTCCTCCCACAGGGAATGTTGACAGGGTGGGTTGGGATTAACCCCTAACGGTCCCTTCCACTGAGCTGTGCTCCGTGAGGCCAAAAAAAAAAATGTGGGTTTCCGGTTTCCCGACCCTACCTAGCTTTTGGACGTCGAAATCCCGACCCTAAACTTTTTTATTGGATCATGCTTGTAAATGTTTCCACTTAGAGGAAAAAGTTTGTGGAAAATTGAAATTTGAGGCAATATTAGGGAAATTTATCTTTGGATGTGGAAGCACTGACTAAACAAAATGGCGTCCGCTTATTCGGAAAATTAAAAAAAAAAGTTTAAAAAAAAAAGTTATAACCGACCTACCCTACCTAAGTTTTTATAAGAAGAAACCGGAAACCCACATATCTTTTTTTTTTTTGCCTGATCAGACATGAGTCAGAAGGTGGCTAACAATGTCGCCTTTATAAAAAGCCGTCGAGTCGATCAGGTTGAGCTGCGTCCTTCGCAATTCAGCTTAGCCCTCAGCTGCAAGTATGGAAAGTTAAAGGCAATCGCAAACTTTTCAGAATTTCAGAGTTTTTGTAGAAAGAAAAATTGTATATTAAATATAGCTTTGTTTTTGTGAAATACAGTACTTTAGTGTTCCTGATCTTCATGCGCTAAACATGCAGACCTTCTTTGGATCCTTTAAGCCTGGTTTCCATATGATCGTAAAGATTTTCTGCTCTAAATGCCGTTCTTTCAACTTAAGCTGTTGCTCATAATCTAAAATATTAATTTTTGTATAGCTATGTAAGTAGTCTTACACCTTGTCTTTAATGTATGTCTACTTATTGTATTGTATCAGGTTGGTCTTCACATGGGACTTATGTCCCGTTGACCATACCTTCAATCATTATTATATAATTTTTTGTATGATTGTAAAGTTAATAAATAAATAAATAGTTTGAGTCCCGATTTTTCTCAACAGACAAAATACAACAGTTAGAACTGACAATAGGCTGAGTGATTATAAATAGAGAACACTTATGATTTATATATGGTTTACAGGTAAAAAAACTATTATGATCTGGCTCTATCTTTACGATCGTTACGACCATATGTAAACCATAAAATTCAATTGAGCGACTCGTCAGTTTACGGGATCGTCCCAACAACGTTTCTAACACAGTTTTTCAATCAAGAAATGTTGTGCTTCGATGGCATTTAAAGTTCTTTTATTTTTTGTTTATTTTAATTGCGACATTTTTTATTTTTCTACCACACGCCGAATGAGTGTTCGAGAGGCATCTTTCGTGCAATTTTGAAGCGGTTATAAAGCCTTAAACGCTTCCAGAAATATTAAATTTATAGTTCAAATATATGGACACACGGTTCGCATATTTGAACGAGTACTGATTGGGATTTGCTCACAGTTTATCGTCGGTTTATCTTCCGAAATGGATTGTTTTGGCGACGAATCTGACGACATTATGTTTGTAAGTTGTTCTAAATTGTTCTTTGTTACTTTATATATTGATAACAGTTAGTATTAAAAGGAAATCAGTACTATTTATTTTGAATATCAAATATGGAAGTCAGGCTAACCTCGTGGTATAATTTAACAGACTGCATTTTTGGCAGCAATGCAAAGCCGGAATTATTATAAACGCGAAATTGAGAGTTGGTAATAGCTATTCTTGGTAATAGCTATTCTTAATGCTTTCCCAACACTATCATGTATTTTGTTTAAGTTAAAACATAGTTGAACACTCATCAAACGGTTATTCAAACCTTTATTTTGATTTTTGTTCATCTGGAGCTTGAAATGTCCCTGTAAAGGGGGAGGGGGTGAATAGGGGTGTACAAATCCGCCGATCTGGCCAAATTTGAAGCAAAATCCGCCGTCCGACAATGGTCTTGTCTAAATTTGGATCTGCTAAAAGCTCTACTAAATTGCAGGCAAAATCCACAATCCGAGCCAAAATGTTAGATAAATCTGCAATCCGTGTAAAATATTCACCAAATCCGAAATCCGAACAATTTTTTTTGGCGGAATCCGACGATCCGAAAACCTATTCAGCCCGTAACAATGCGGACTGCCAACTCTCATGGGTAATACAGTATACTGTCTGCCTCGATTTCAAGCTATTGTTTTGTGTACACTCGTGCAAATTTGGGAAGTTTCATTTGGATTATCATTATTCATTTCTTTAGAAATTGATTATTTTGATAGTTTATGATGGCAATATTTGCATAGCGAGACTGAATCGTCGGCCTGGCTATGCCACTGTCGACCGGCCCCAGGGGTGTAACTAGGGGATTTATGTGGGTGGGGGCAGGCTTTCAGCCAGGGTGTCAACACTGATTGTCCAAAAATAGTGTGGGTATATGGCAACCTGTTTTTGTTAACGTGAAAGAGATGTTTTTTTTTGTTTCTGCATATCTGTTGCTAAACCCCCTTTTAAAATTAAAAGACAACATTAATGATAAATTAATTGTATACAAGTAAATATTCACACGTTATACATTAAACATTGATGGAAATCTTTCATATACATTATATTGTGCAAAAGTCCAGAATCTGGAGCTCTGCTAGAAATTGGTATATTTACCCCAAATCTCTAAGGCTCTTATCAACCCGATCAATTTAAAGCATGGCTTAAATATTAATAAATATTGACAAGAGTTTGGCTCGCTTGACCACTTACCACAGTACAGATCACTTGACCACAGTACGGATCTCATGATTGAACTGTGGCATATCGCATCAAAAATTCATATCGCTGTCACCGCTGCAATTGGGCCAAAAAAAATATATGTGTGTTTCCGGTTTCCCGACCCTACCTAGCTTTTGGACGTCGAAATCCCGACCCTAAACTTTTTTATTGATTATGCTTGTAAGTGTTTCCACTTAGAGGAAAAAGTTTGTGGAAAATTGAAATTTGAGGCAATATTAGGGAAATTTATCTTTGGATGTGGAAGCACTGACTAAACAAAATGGCGTCCGCTTATTCGGAAAAATAAAAAAAAGTTAAAAAAAAAAGTTAAAACCGACCTACCCTACCTAAGTTTTTATAAGAAGAAACCGGAAACCCACATATTTTTTTTTTGGCCTTGTCTACAGCTACACCTACATATTTTCTGGTTCTTGATATCAGTTACAGTAAATACTGCAAAAGGTCCATTGCAGTGTCAGACACTAGGAGGGGCCAGTGCGACAATCACCCCCCCCCCCACCCCCTCCTCCAATAATTTCAATTCCCTCCTCCCATATTATTTCTCAAAGTGTCTGCCACTGGTCATTGGCTGTTTAAAATTAGAATTGTAAACATGCAAAAATATGTAGGTGTAGATGATATGTAGGTCTATGACTTTGGTGTAACCGTTTGAATGCTTTTGCCATGTTCCTAGCCAGTCAAACGTCAGAAAGAAACCCGCCCTAAATAATTGACAAGCTGTCATGTTGTCTTAGATATAAACAATGCATTTTAGTTAGTTTTTAAACAGAATTGTTCCAATCTGAAATTTGTCCAACTATATAATGGCTACAAGTTATCTGTTGCTATCCCAAAAAAGTCTCGGACTTCTTCCATTTTTACTAGACTTAAATTAAGGACGAATTGAACGGTTGTTATTTATGTTTGGTACTTACAGATAATGTTATAATGTGTTTGTAGACCTTGTGCTGTTTGTTATTAATGTTAATATTAATACTTTTTTCTTCATTCATATTTGAACGTCTTAAAGTGAGACTCGCGTTTTACCAGCCCTATAGCTACATAATATTTGTCCAGGCATAATATCATATGCATCTTTAAACTACACCTGCAGCGTTAAGTTGCTTTTAGTTTTACAATAACGTGTTAGGCCAACCATATAGGCATAAGTAGTCTTTACATTCCATTATTGAAAATGGCAGCACGTATATTTATATCTCATGTTTGGCGATGTTCTTTGCAAAGCGAATTTCTGTAAGAACGAGCTTCCTTTACAACCAATCTCCGGTGTCAAGCTTTTCCATTTGGTCTCGTCAAACCACTGAGTAAAATGCACGATACATCGAAGGGACTCGATTTTCCCAGGGGTACCAGGCGGCCCCTTATTGCCTTTTGTGCCCTTGGCCCCAGCCTTCCCGTCGCTCCCTCGGTCACCCGGTGGTCCGGTTGGGCCTGTTGGACCAGTCTGTCCGGTTATGCCCGGTTCTCCCCTGGGTCCTGGGGCACCTGGTAGGCATGATGTTCTGATGATGTTTGATGGTGCCGTGGTTGTGCTTAGTTGGCTGCATGTCCCAGATGTTCCGGGTGGACCTGGCGGGCCCGGTTGGCCATCTCGTCCCTAGAAATAAAGATGTATTTTTAATGTTGTTTACATGAGGCGTAGCTATAGTTGCCCAGTTTTACTGCCAGTCTTCTAACGTTGTCTACAAGATTAACTCTGCAGTTTGATCAGACTGGTAGAGCAATCAACACTGGGCGAAAGTAGCATGCACAGGAGAAATGTAGAGCTCTGTATATAAAAGTAGTTCAAATATCGCTAACCACGCGCTTGGACAAACAACCATAAAATGGATTTTAATAGCAGGAAAATAATTGTAAATTGACAAAAGCAAGTATTGGCACAGAAAAACACTTGAATCATGGCATTTACCGGACAATAACGCTTTTTACTTGGCAAAAAACATGCTTTGCAAAATAATCTGCATGTAATTAATCTTGTATATAAGAGAATCTGCATGCTTGACCATAGTCATACATTTTTTATGCTGTTCGAGTTACGATCGGCGGAACTTCTGCTGTTAGCGCGTGTCGATTTCTTGAAACGATTTAATTGATTTGTGTAATTCTGAGCTCACGAGAAAATACTCAGAATGCTTTAGTTATGGTGAAATATGTAAATATGTCGAGGTTGTTATACAGCCACATTTTCAATTATACGTACCACATGTGCTAGTGTGCTCTAACAAGCGGAAAATTGTCTAGTCACGCATACATGATATTAAAAGCCCATATAAACTTTATAAATAAAATATAATTTAAAACGTAACAGAACGGCAAACATGCAGATTCGGCCATCTCAAGTGGCGGTAATGTTAGGATAGTAGCGTTGCAGACTGCAGAGGAGAGTGGGCAGTAAGGCTCCCTCATGCACCACCCCATGGAAAACCTGCACCCCTCCTTGCAGATGAGGCTAGATCCGCCCCGGTATCTCATCACTTCTAGGGAGAACAGGTTTAACAAAATTTATGATAGAGCTATCCCATGTTAGTAAAGTGTAGTTTTATGTACTAAGTTATCAAGTGTAACGTATAGTTAAATCAACATGACTTACAGCAAGTCCAGCTGGTCCTGACGGACCTGTAGGTCCGGTACTGCCTTTTATTCCCGTTCTACCAATTGTACCAGTCTGTGAAGATATAAAAGATTAGAATGAATAAATTGAATTCGCAAGGAATATATATTTTATGATACATTTTGTGAGTTTTTTTGTATTTTAACTATAGTATATATTCCACTTAATTGATTATGATTGCATTCAAAATTTTTAATTTCTTATGCATTTCTCAAGAGGCAAACAAACTTAGAACGTATGTTTAGTGCTTTATCTGTAAAACAATGCTAAAATGAAGAGATTTCCAATGGTACGCCAAAGAGAAAAATGGTGTTTGAAGTTCAGTAGGTGTATACGAGTGAATGTGAAATCGTGGCAGAAGAAGCTTTAATGGGTTAAAGTAGGGACGTCCACTGGCAATCTCCTTCCTATTTTGTATTTTTTAAAGCGATAAAAGTTAGGCTTTCTTACCGTTCCTGGTAGTCCTCGAATTCCTGGCCGGCCATCACGTCCATCTGTTCCCTAACGATTAATAATTGGCAAACATTAGTGTTCAGACTGATTTGAATATTCATATTTCATTTATTATGCGAAATACAAACGCGTACGGGGTCCCGGGATCCCGGGGAAAAGCCCCGAAGATTCCCGGATGAAAGTGTGCTCGAGAGACAAAAATATAGTTTTAGTGTGTTTTGGTTTGGAATATATTCATGTTTCTTTATAAAGTTTTGGTACTTTTCTTGGTTTAATGTTAATTATTGTTGCCCCAGTCGTTAGTTGGGATGGCCCTAAGCTGGTGGTAACATTAAATGGTCCTTCTACGTCGGATTGAATTGGTATAGTGGAATTATTTGTATGATATAAATATGTCTGTTCATGGTTCTGAGGCAAATCGTGTGGTTGAAAGTGAATTTGGTAGCGTTTCGTTGGAAGAAACACGTATTCGAAGTAAAAGATCGGTAGTTAAGAGGAGAATAACTACAACTTTACGTAAATTGGAGGGACTTGTGGCGAAATTTGGTAGCAAAACAATAATAAAAGGGTATGTGAATAATTTATCTGAATATTTAAAAGAAGCTGAGGCACTTAATACTCAACTTCTCACTCTGGTACATGAAAGTGAGCATGAAGCTGTTTTAATTTGGTATGAAGAACAATTAGAAAGAGTCAATGATGCCAAATTAGAGGCTGAAAGTCATCTTGAGGGGCGCTTACATGAAGTATCCTCAGTCGCAGGAACATTTCCTGGCATGCAAGAAAGTGCGCAAATACCGAATTTAATTAGCTCAAAATCTGTAATGACATGTAGTTCAAAATCAAGTGGAAAAGGAGCTGAAGTTCGTGCGAAAGCCTTTGCCGCAGAGTTAAAAGCTAAACAATTAATGGAAGAAGAAGAGAAAAGAAAACAAGAGTTGGAAAAACAATTAGAACTTGAAAAAAATGTAGCTATGGCTAAAGAAATAGCTGAAAGAGCAAAACTCGAGGCTGAAGAAAGACGAAAGGTCCAGCAAGCGAAGGATGAATGGATGCGTCTAAGGGCGGAAGCAGAGATCCTGGAAAATGAAGAGGACAACCCAGAAAGTTTGTCAAACAGACTACGTGACTTTGAAAATGAGACAAATGATAAAGAACAACCTCCAACAGTACATCAACAAAGTCCTCTGAGGATTATAACAGAAAAATCAGCACCAGTGAAAGTTCCTGAAAATACTACTCATAAGGGAACATTAGACAGTCAAGTTGGTCAGAAACTTCCTAGTGGAAATAGTGTACCAAGTATATATGTTCAACCCAGTTCTAATAATCTGCCAAGATTAAAATTAACCACTTTTGATGGGGACTCTCTTAAGTGGCCTGATTGGTCTTCTATGTTTAAATCAATGGTTGGTGATGCAAACATATCCCTAAATGCCAAAATGCAACATTTACAGAACTCAGTTACGGGTAAAGCTAAGACTTCAATCGAGGGGTATGGCTATAGTGGTGATTCATATAACAAAGCAATGTCTGAGCTGGAATCCAGATTTGGTAAACCATCATTAGTCATCAAAGCCACTCTTGGTAAGTTGAGAACCTTCAATCGCTTACAAGATAATGATCCAGAAAGTGTTCGAAGCTACTCTGATGTTGTGTCAACTACTGTATGGACGCTGTCAAGATTTGGTTATGTGAGTGATCTTAATGCGGAAGCAAACCTGTCGTTGGCTACATACAAGTTATCAAATGAACTGCTACTAAAATGGAAAGAACATGTCAAGGATGGCAAACTAGACCGTCCAAACTTGAGCCAGTTTTCAGATTGGCTCAAAGGGCAAGCTGATATTTATGATGAGTGTGCAAGGTCATCAAAGAAGAATTTCAAGAGCAAATACCAAAAGCAGTATGGCCCATCAAATAGAGGAGAAAATCAAACTGTATTATCATGCATAATGTTGGATGGAAGTAAACATAGCCTTAGTGAATGTGCGAAGTTCAAGAGTTTATCTGTCGAAGACCGACTTGTGGAAGTTAGGAAACATCGACTGTGTTTTTGCTGTTTAAGTAAGGAACATTGGTCAAACAAATGTCCTGTAAGAAAGCAGTGTCAAATAAATGGATGCAAAGGATATCATCACAGTCTTTTACACAGAATGGAAAATAAGGAACCTGGCTCTGGAAATAAACCACCTGAAAGAGAAGAGAACATTGGAGCAACGTTTGAAAGTAAACAATGTTCGCAGGTCAAAAGGGGTATGCCGGTCTTACTCCAGGTTATACCTGTCACTGTACATGGTCCAAATGGATATTTGAACACCCATGCAATGCTGGACAGTGGTAGTACATGCAGTTTGGTCTTATCTAGTGTTGCTGAAAAGCTTGGTTTGGAAGGTTCAGAGGAACGAATTATATTGAATGGAATTCAGGGAACTTCTGAACTGAATTCGAGACGAGTTAATACTCAAGTAAGTGCAGTCAATATGGTGACACCACGTTTTGATGTGAACGGAGCATTGGTTGTTGAGCACTTGAATATTGCCCAGCAGAAGGTGAACTTGGTGGATGTAAAGTCTAAATGGCCGCATCTAAAGGAAATAGACATACCGGAAGCGAGTAGTTGTGATGTTTCGTTGCTTATTGGTAGTGACTGTCTAGACATTATCTTACCCATTGAGACACGATGTGGTCCTAGAGGAACTCCAGTTGGAATTCGTACAAAGCTTGGTTGGACGATAACTGGACCTCTTCCGGGTTATATTCGGACATCCGAGGGTATCTTCCATACTTATGTTCGTTCACCTGATGAAGAGCTTCACAACCAAGTAAAGTTGTGGTGGCGTACTGAGGAATTTGGATGCAAGTATGACGTGGAAACCCAAAGGTCGGTTGAAGATGAGAATGCAATGCGGATCCTGGAAGAGACAACAAAGAAAGTCGATGGTAGATATGAAGTTCCACTCCTCTGGAAGAAGAATGGTGGATCTATGCAGAATAATCGAACAGTAGCTGAACATCGCCTTGCATTGTTGGAAAGGCGATTACAACGTGATCCGAACCTCGCTGAAGCATACAAAGAGACTATCCATAGGGACCTGGAGAAAGGATATGTTAAAAGGATTGTTCTTAATGAAGGTGCTACTGAAGAGAAGCAATGGTATTTACCGCATCATCCGGTTTTGAATCCAAATAAGCCTGGAAAGGTTAGACGAGTTTGCGATGCTGCTTGTAGATATCAAGGATCCTCACTTAACGATCATCTTATAACTGGTCCTGATCTACTTAATTCCTTAACGGGAATTTTTATGAGATTCCGTGAAGAAAAGATTGCATTATCAGCGGACATTGAAGCAATGTTTAGTCAAGTCGCTGTGCCGAAAGAGGATCAAACGGTACTACGTTTCTTGTGGCGTGATTCTACTGACTCGGACACAGAAACTTACCAATATCAAAGGCATATATTCGGAGCTAAGTGTGCTCCTACCTGCGCTAATTATGCACTTTGTCGAAATGCCAAGGATAACGAACACGAATTTCCTGATGCAGCCGCTGCTGTTGAACGTAATTTCTACATGGATGACTTCTTTAAGTCTGTTGATTCGGTAACGAGAGCTATTAAGCTTTGCAATGAATTGGTTGAGCTGTGCCAGAGGGGAAAGTTTCGTCTAACAAAGTGGATTTCCAACGATCGTCGTGTAATTGAGAAGGTACCGGAAACCGAACGAGCTGTATCTGTTAAGACAATGAACGAGTGTACGGACATGCCTGTCGAGAGAGCACTTGGTGTTGGTTGGGACACACAAAGAGATAATTTTGTGTTCATTGTCAAGAAAAAGCCTTCAGCGCAAACCAGAAGGCAACTTCTTAGTATTATGGCATCACTGTTTGACCCTCTTGGCTTCTTAGCGCCATTTTTGGTGAGAGCAAAAATTCTTCTTCAAAGAGTCTGGCAACTTGGATTGGCTTGGGACGACATTCTACCACAAGATCTGTTGGAAGAATGGCAACTATGGGAAGCGGAGTTGCTCATGATCAGGGAATTTTCAGTTCCAAGATTCTATAGACAGGTTGATGAGTACCCAGGAGATATTGAAGTCCACATCTTTGGGGACGCCAGTGAACTAGCGTTTTGCTCGGTTGGATTCCTACGGTTTAAATATGACAATGGATCAGTAAAGTGTGTTTTCGTGATCGCAAAAACTCGCGTGGCACCAACAAAGAAGTTAAGCATACCGAGACTCGAGTTGCAAGCTGCAGTCCTGTGTGTGAGATTAGCGAGTGTGATTATCAAAGAGCATGACTACAAATTTAGCTCGATTCACTTTTGGTCTGACAGCACAACTGTACTGCATTGGATACGTGGAACTTCGACAAGACACCCGTCATTTATCGCAAATCGGCTAAGTGAGATTTTGGATGCGACAGAAGCCAGTCAGTGGCATTACTGCCCAAGCAAGTTGAACCCAGCGGACGATGGTACTCGAGGGCTGCCAGTTTTATCCATTACGACAAGTAGTCGATGGCTTACGGGACCCGAGTTCCTTTTGCTTGATGAGTCACAATGGCCGGAAGACGTTACAAACCGAGTGGTCAACGATAACATTCCAGATGTTGTTACTGAAAGCGATGTGCAGTTTACCGGAAAAGTGACGACTCAGAGTGAACCGGAAGAACTAGTTAACCTTGCCAGATACTCTTCGTACTCTCGCGCGTTGACTGTTATGGTGTATGTACAACGATTTCTGCGTAACTGCAAAGTACCCGTGTCTGAAAGAACGTTTGGTAGTCCGTTAGTCGAAGAACTCGAAAAAGCAAAGAAAACTCTGATTCGCCAAGAGCAAATTAAAACATTCACTTCGGAATTTAGAGAGCTTAAACGTGGACGTCCTGTGCACAAGCAAAGTAAATTAGTATCTTTGACACCCTTCTTAGACGAAGATGACATAATACGCGTTGGTGGTCGCATTGGAAAGGCTGCTATACCTTTTGTTACTCGGCATCCGATCGTATTGGATTCTAGTGGTGATCTAACCAAACTAATTGTCATGGATACCCACAACAAGCTTGGACACGCGGGAGTAGACAATGTTCGAAACGAGCTTCGACAGCAGTTTTGGATCCTTCGCTGTAAAGCCACGGTTAAGAAGAATCTTCATAGTTGTTGGTTGTGCAAACTACGCCGTACCGTGCCACGTCCACCGAGAATGGCTGATTTACCACGCGACCGGCTGTTGGTGAGTCCTCCCTTTACGAAAGTTGGCGTCGATTACTTTGGCCCGCTACACGTGAAATATGGAAGAAAGCATTTAAAAAGGTACATTTGTCTCTTCACTTGTCTCGTGACTCGAGCGGTCCATTTGGAAGTAGCATTCTCTCTCGAAACTGACTCTTTTATTATGTGTCTCCGAAGGTTTGTGGAACGAAGAGGTAATCCTCAACTCATCTATTCGGATAATGGGACAAATTTCGTGGGAGCCGATCGGGAGCTCAAGGAGTGTATTGAAAATTGGAATCAAAGTCAAATCGCTAACGAACTTAGTCAAAAGGGAATAAAATGGGTGTTCAATCCCCCAGCATCACCACACATGGGAGGAGCATGGGAGAGACTAGTGCGTTCGTGTAAGACAACATTCAAAGCAGTGTTAAAGAAACAAGTGTTGACCGATGAAGTCCTGGCAACTACAATGGCAGAAGTGGAATCATTAGTAAACAGTCGCCCTCTGACCGAAGTTAGCTCTGATGTTGACGCAATGGAAGCGATTACGCCAAATCATTTCCTTTTAGGACGTCCTAGTATAAACTTATCGCCTGGTGTATTCGTTGATAAAGAGATATCGAGTCGTAAGCGTTGGAGACAAGCGCAAGTGGTCACAAATCACTTATGGGGACGTTGGTTAAGAGAATATTTGCCTGCTCTTGTTCAAAGGGCAAAGTGGACGCAAGACGTACCGAATCTTAAAGTTGGAGATCTGGTTATTGTGGTGGATTATTCTACTCCGCGTGGCACATGGCCTTGGGGAAGAATTATTGAAGTCTACCGAGGTTCTGACAAGATAGTACGCAGTGTTGATGTGAAAACGAAGTTTGGAGTCTTCAGGAGACCAGCAACAAATATTGCAACACTCGAGGAGTGATCGTACTCCTAATGACCAACGATCACGGGGGGAGGATGTTCAGACTGATTTGAATATTCATATTTCATTTATTATGCGAAATACAAACGCGTACGGGGTCCCGGGATCCCGGGGAAAAGCCCCGAAGATTCCCGGATGAAAGTGTGCTCGAGAGACAAAAATATAGTTTTAGTGTGTTTTGGTTTGGAATATATTCATGTTTCTTTATAAAGTTTTGGTACTTTTCTTGGTTTAATGTTAATTATTGTTGCCCCAGTCGTTAGTTGGGATGGCCCTAAGCTGGTGGTAACAATTAGTATTAATTTTGTGGCTTAAATGTTAAGTGAACATTTACACATAGAACAAAATGCCATGTCCCAATGGACAAGTATTGCTCCACTTCAGTGGCGTAACTTCTTTGGGCGCCGCCTGGCTCAGTCCAAATCAATTAGGGTATTTAGAGGGCCCTGAACAGGGGAAAATGTATGTATTCCAGTTTTTGGATTATCTGCTAAAATTATATATTCTAGCAAATTTTCCGTCTTTTTGACGTATTCCCCCCCCCCCTCCCGTCGCCACTTTAAATGGGTAGGACAAGGGCTGGGCTTTATTTCAGTTAAAGCCGGGGGGGGGGGCCTTCAGCACAAAGTTACGCCTCTGCTCCACATCCAATACTGCATTGTGGCAATCAATGAAATTTATATATCAAGGGGCTAAACGGATAGCTACGGCGTTAAAGGTATGTTGCATACCAGTTCATGTTTCGATATGTTACACGCCTTGTGGCTCCATAACGCCACCACTTCCCCGCGTTTTTAACGAGCGAACATGAATGAGTATCTATAACTATTAATTCTCATCCACATATACCTTCACTGGGAGACTATACTGATTTTTTCAATGGGAATTCATCGCTACTTTACACTGACCACGTTTGCTGTTAACATTGCTCAGTGCTAGTTATTTTCTGGTGGATTTCCATGGTGGGTACCCCTTTGCCTGGAGGGGGGGGGGGGTGAAATTTGCAGTATCCCGCTATCCACAAGTACTCCAGCCATAGACTCGCCCATGACCAAAGCACTTCAGCTTCTCTGTTCCCACATTTCTCACACACTCTAACTAGCACTCTGGTCCAGAGTGTTTTCAGAGTGTACATTTTATCTAGTAAAGTATATATACGTACTGCCTGTCCAGGAGGTCCTGGTGGTCCAGCTGGACCATGTCTACCTCGTGCCCCTTTTTGACCTCGTCGTCCTCGAGAACATGGACACCGCTAGATGGAAGAAATACATATTATTGGTCGTTATTGAATTTACAACATGAGCTCCACCTTTGAATTTACTATATGAGTAAATTCTTAAACACGTCCGAATTTATCATTATGATAAATTCGCGGCACATTTTGAATTTATCAATAGAGTTAATCATAAAACCACAATCATTGCACAAGGTTTCTTGTTATAAGTGTAGGGCAGGGGTGGGGAGTTTTCCATGTTTTTTAAAAAAATAGTTTTTTAAAAAGTTTTAAAAGAGTTTTGAAAAGCAAGAAAAGTTTAAAAAGTTAGATTTTTAAAAAAGTTAAAAAAATTTAAAAACTTAAAAAATGAGGGTTAGGGGTTAGTGGTTAGTGGTTAGGGTTGGGGTTGGGGTTGGGGTAAGGGTTAGTGTTAGGTGCCGCGAATTTATTATTATGATAAATTCAAAATTTGCCGCGAATTTATCATAATGATAAATTCGGACGTGTTTAAGAATTTACTCATATAGTAAATTCAAAGGTGGAGCTCATGCTGTGAATTTAAAATCTCGGACTCATTAAAAGTGGAGAACCTTTTGTTTGTTAGGTAACACGCGCTCAAAAATAATGAATATACTTTTTCACTTGGTTATGACTATATTCAATTTTTTATGTTTTGATACGTTTCTTTAGCGGCAAACGATAATTTCCATCTACTATTATGATTCTTCAACTATTAATAATAATAATAATCTTTATTCATCAAAATACCAATACAGGCACATATGAAATTACATACAATAAAAGATACAAAGCGTATCTATATGTGATAGTTGTTATAAGATATAAGATTATAAAAAGTGCATTAACATTTTTTATATCATGAATGAAGATATGCATGATTACATAATGCACTGATTATCATATAATAGAAGAATATCATGAAAATATTTTGCTACTATTTTCATGATAGATTTATCATGTATATTAAAAATATATAAGAATAAATTATTTGTACCAAATAGGCGGAAAGAACTATTGATACCATATAACTCGTTTAAAAAAATATTTCGAGTTTCTGAAATTTTTTGGTTGGAGCATGATAATAAGTAGTGAAATTCATCTCCAATTTCACTCGATTGACATAAGGTACAAAACCGATCTTCGTCAGTATGGTGTTTTGGTATATCTTCCAGATTCAACCGGTAGTTTGTGCGCAGATATTCTCATTTTTGTTATTGCTTGGCGATGCTTAACATTGCATATTTCATGAAGGTATTCTTCAAATACAAAATTATTCTTAACTTGTACTAGAGTTCTTAATTTACCACTGTGACGACTTTGTTCAATCTGATCTTTCCAAAAATGAGTAAAATAAGTAGATAATCTATTTTTTAGATATGTACCTACATTATGTAAACTTATGAAAGTGATATTTGCTGTGTTGGTGTAATGTACTCAGGTGAATAAGATGCTTGTGTGATGTTACTCTGATTGTATATCCTCACCGGGCAGGCTTGAAAAATATGCCTGGCCACGGTGGGATTCGACCTTTGGAATATACTAGCCCAATACTCTGCCAACTGAGTTATACACTAGAGTAACATCACACAAGCATCTTATTCACCTGAGTACATTACACCAACACAGCAAATATCATGACTATTAGATTACACTGATATCGAAGGAACTAGACTCAGTTACGAAATATCACATACTCGAACCGACCTGACCGCGTAGCTCAGTTGGCAGAGCATTGGGCTGCCTAGTATTCCAAAGGTCGTAGGTTCGAATCCCACCGTGGCCGGGCATATTTTTCAAGCCTGCCCGGTGTGGATATACACTCAGAGTAACATCACACAAGCATATTATGAAAGTGATCTATTTTTCATCATTGCTAACCATGCATAATTAATCATCATTTCCCCTAGCTGATGCACAGTCCCAATGAAATGAAATTAGGCTCAATTCTCACGCGTGCGTAACAGGCTTAGCACGTTCACAGCTTTGCACCCACGGTGGTTTCTCTAGTTAGTTCTAATAAGTAAATGGACCTTTTTATCTTTCGACACTTGTTATTCTGTCAATTATGCCGGTTGAATTTTGACGAAAAAACAAATTCGTCTACAGCTGTTGCATTTTTTCAGGACACCCTGTATAAAATGTCCTCGTCATTAATATACAATCCCGTATTTTATGTGCATTAAAAAAAGTTGTGGGATGTGGTTTAACTTGCATTTTTCGGCTATTCGTGCAGCTTTATTGTTTGTTCGACCCTAGTGAATTGTTGTCCGATCTAGAGGCTCGTATGTTAAATGGAAAATCATAGTAATGTATAAAAACTGAACTGGAAATGTGCAATCAAGTTTTCACCGTTAACTAATTGGGTTCGGAAATTTATTGCCCAGATTTAAATGACTTTTCCAAAAGATATTAATTACTGATATTAATTTGTGTTTGCACTTTGCATTGCATATACTTATTTCAGCGTGGATTATAACGTTTTTGCTTAGGTCTGACAATGTCCGATTAACGAGACTGTTGCTCGGACATTGGCCAAGAATGGTCAGCCAACTATTTCAACCATTTTACGTGACAGTGCTACAGATCGAAGTACCATTATTGATTGCACGTTTGCATGCAGAAAAAAGCTTGGCGTACGCCAACTAGCAACGTCCTCCGCGCCTTCACTTTGTTTGTGTTTCTTTAGGAAATAAAGGTATTTACTAATATATAGCTAGGCCTACGGCTTATAGAAATGAAACATATTTTTGTAAGTAGTAAGTATTGTAAACGCCGCCGGCTATGGACTGTAACTATTGAGATTCGGTCACTTGAGAGAGTATTTGCTAAAAGAGAAGTTCAATGACAACGATCATCTAAGTGATTTTTTCATCCAAATATTTATTGATTGCATGGTATAGTAGGCATAGTTAGATGCTTTTCAAACAGTACTTTTCACATAAACTACCTTCAATTTAAATGAACAGTGTGGTGTATTTTATTTATCGGAAAAAATGTCCGTGCAGAATGAAATTGATCGGCCATTTGGTGTTTTTGTTCGGCAAATAGCCGATTGCCGACCGTTATAATCCACACTGACTTATTTCCAAGCCAAACTGCACTCAAATCCATCGGACATCACAATACATACAGCTATTTCAATTAAGGTTGTCCACGAGCAAAGCAGAAAAGTCGAATACGAGCGCGAAAGGCTGCTGGGAACCGCTTTGAAAATTCATTAATTTGTTAGCGATTCCCAGCAGCCTTTCGCGCTCGTATTCGACTTTTCCGCTTTGCTCGTGGACAACCTTAATTGAAATAGCTGTTTGTCCGACCCAAACTCAAAGTCATCATTAAAACATTTTGTCAGACGGCTCTCTGATCGATATTTTTTAAGGTCTGACGTGTCAACGGTTGTGCTGTTCCGGAACGTTTTTTCGAGGACACCATGCAATAGACCGTTTGACGACTGTGCACGCACGGTGGCATCTCTAGTCGGTTCTAATGCTATTCTACTATTAAAATCCTTCGTGTATTGCCATACGGAAATGTATCTTATCTTTTGAGATGTCAGCTAATTCAATCATCCAGCCTATTGGAGGCTTATGAGATAAGGATCGCTGGTATTGAATGATTTTATCGTAATGTAACGGCGTGGGAATATAAAACTAAACCGTATGTCATCAGTACATCTATACGTACTACTCAATAGACCTGTCGGCGTGTTTAATAAGTCGTTTGCCACCCAAGTTACTCAAAGAGCTGCCCAAACTCAAACAGTTTATATATGGAGCTCAATGAACTCTACACTAAATAGCCAGGAACAGTGCAGTGGGCTAAAGGCATGTTGGAAACAGGCCTACGTTATGGCCACAAACCGTGCATGACTATAAAGGTCTGATGCCGACCGTTACGACCATATGGAAACCAGGTTTAAGGCCATTTCTCTCTGTTGTCGCTTTTATAAAAAATTGAGATTTTATGATTGACCTGAATTTAGCAAGTGCGCAAATATTTTCATTCCTCGCGTTTGAGTGTGGTAAACTAATACTATATACATTTTGTTAAAATTTTTCAAACAGACTTAAATTTAGCAAGTGCGCAAATTGCGCAATTATTCGCACTGCGTGGTTGGAATTGTGAAACTATCATCAGATATTTAAGTGTGGTAAAAATACTATACCTTTTGTTAAAACAATATCAAGTGAACTATTTTTATGCACTGGAATTTCATTCTACCGGGTTGGAATTGTGAAACTATCATCAGATATTTAAGTGTGGTAAAAATACTACCTTTTGTTAAAACAATATCATGTGAATTATTTTTATGCACTGGAATTTCATGCTAGCTGGTTGGAATTGTGATAAACTATCATCAGATATTTAAGTGTGGTAAAAATACTACCTTTTGTTAAAACAATATCATGTGAATTATTTTTATGCACTGGAATTTCATTCTACCTGGTTGGAATTGTGAAACTATCATCAGATATTTAAGTGTGGTAAAAATACTACCTTTTGTTAAAACAATATCATGTGAATTATTTTTATGCACTGGAATTTCATTCTACCTGGTTGGAATTGTGAAACTATCATCAGATATTTAAGTGTGGTAAAAATACTACCTTTTGTTGTTAAAACAATATCAAGTGAACTATTTTTATGCACTGGAATTTCATTCTACCGGGTTGGAATTGTGAAACTATCATCAGATATTTAAGTGTGGTAAAAATACTACCTTTTGTTAAAACAATATCAAGTGAACTATTTTTATGCACTGGAATTTCATTCTACCTGGTTGGAATTGTGAAACTATCATCAGATATTTAAGTGTGGTAAAAATACTACCTTTTGTTAAAACAATATCATGTGAATTATTTTTATGCACTGGAATTTCATGCTAGCTGGTTCAAACACAGCAGCACTTGTCATTAACTGTACATGAATACACTGCATGCTCTGCGTTTATCGTATAAAGAAAATAAATGTTTTCGCTAGGGGAGTTTTACCAGTTATAGATAGCCAAGCACACGGTG